GCGCCCGGTGCGCGAGGCCGACCTGAGGCACCAGCCCATTCTCATGGTAGGCCCCGCCACTGCCTGTTAGACCACGCCTACCATGCTCATCTCCTTCCCTCAAGCTCCTCCCACTAGGACTGGCCCCTCCTTTCAAGCTTTGTCCATTAAGCCTAGCTCCTCCCATCAGGCTTGGCTCCTCCCCTCAAGCTTTAGCCATTATGCCTAGTTCCTCCCACCAGGTCTGGCTCCTCCCCTCAAGCGCTATCATTAAGCCTAGCTCCTCCTACCAGTCTTGGCTTCTTCCCTTAAGCTCTGTCAATCAAACCTAGCTCCTCCTACCAGTCCTGGCTCCTTCCCTCGAGCGCTGTTCATTAAGCCTAGCTCTTCCCCCCAGCCCTGGCTCCTCCCCTCAAGAGCTTCCCATCAAGCCTGGCCCCTCCCATCAAACCCAGCTCCCCAAAAAGGCGCCACTCTGGTCCTTGAGGATTTGCGTACACAGCCCACCCTATCCTAAGGCCTAGCATCTGACCTCAAAGTCCCGCCCATTGTGCGTGGCTCCTCCGGGGCCCCATTTCTAGTTCCCTCCCTTAAGGCCCCACCCATGAACCACTGGCCCCACGCCCTCAAGCCCCACCCCCCATCAAGTCCCTTCCATCTCCAGGTTCTTCCTTTTCCCAGGCCTTTGGGGGCCAAGGTGCGCCCCCTGCAGCTCTCGGGTCTCACCCTCTAGCCCTTGCCCCCACAGGGAGCCCACCTAGCTGTCATTGATGCCCTCATGGCTGCCTTTGCCTTCGAGTGGACAAAGACCCTGCCAGGTCCCTTGGCCCTGACCAGCTTGGAGCACAAGCTGCTTTTCTGGGTGGACACGGTAGGTGGGGTTGGGCCCGGGGTGGGTTCAGGGACCAGCATTGTGCAGTGGCCAGACCACTGACCCCCTCCCTGCCCTCTAGACTGTCCGGCGGCTGCAGGAGAAGACAGAGCAGGAAGCGGCCCAGCGAGCCTCTCCAGCAGCCCCTGCAGACGGGGCGGCCCAGGCGCAGCCTTCGGTGAGGCCAGGGCATAGAACCATCGGAAGGATGGGGGACCGGAGATCTGGGAGGGCAGGGCGGGGCTGTGCTTCCCGGCCACTCCTGAAGTGGGGAGGGGGCTAGAGGTGACACACTCTCTCTTTCTTCCCCTTTTTCTCAATCTCTCTGTGCCCCACCCGTCCCCTGTGCCGGTACCCGCTGCCCTCCTCTCTGCCTCTCTGGCCTCAGTGCCCTACGCGCTGGTACTGGAAGCTGGTTCCTGTAAGTGGGGCTGTCTGTCCGCCCCGTCTGCCTGCCCTGCTTGTAGCTCTGTCTGTCTGTATGTCTGTTTCTGCCTGCCTGTCTGCACGCCCTCTCATACCTCCCCAAGCTGTGAGCAAAGGAAGTTGGACCCCAGTCCTGGGAGACAGAGAGAAATCCTGTGTACACCGAGAAGGGTAGAATCTGGGCCATTATGAGAAGGCGGCCCCTCCCCAGCAAACTGATGGGTGGGGACGAACTTCCCCTCCCATTATTCAGAAGGGCAAACACTCCCCGTTCCCATTAATGAAGAGGGTGGGACCCCCTGAACCTGTCCCTCTTAACCGAGGTGGGGAGACCGCATAAATTTCTGAAGGGGGGACCTGCAGCCCATCACAAACGTGGATCCTGACCCTAGCAGGCAGGGCACCCTCTAGCCAAGAGGAAGACCGTCCAGTGCAGAAGATAGAATAACCTTCCTGAGACCCCCAGCTTCCCTAGAGAAAAATCCCAGCTTTGAGAGGGAGGAGGAGGCCCATCCCTGAAGCTAGAGGTTGAAATTTCTCTCTTCCCTGAATGAGCTGTGTGACCTTGCAGAAGTATCTAAACCTCTCTGTGCTTCATATAAATTACTCCCATAGTAGATAAACAAGGAGGAAGTGGGGGAGGTTTTGGGCTGGCTGGCGTCCCCACCTTTGCTCACTCCTTCCCCCGACCCTGGGGCCTGGGTTGGGAGGTTCCCTTCCTGCCTACCTGCTTCCTCTGCATCCTCTCCCCAAGCTGGGGGCCTGGGTCTTTTGTGGGAGGAGGACTCCCCGCATAAGAGGGGGTCCCTACTCTGTGGGGTCCCTTGGGGCTGGGAGGAGCTGGGGTTCGCAAAGCCGGCCAGAGCAGTCAGGGAGCTGGATGGCTGGGGCTCAGGACCAGGGTCAGGGCTACCCCCTCCCCCCAAGGTGGGCTTGGGGGCCCAGCAGGTCAGCATCCCTCCGCCTTGCTGATGGCTGCTCCTCTCCCCCCAGCACGCAATTGCCTTCTGTTTGAAGGAGTCGGGGAGCAAACCCCCCATGGTAATGTATCCCCCGCCCCGGGGTCCCAGGAGTCCCTGTCCCCAGCCCCCGCTGCTGGCCTGGCTGCTCGAAGACATCTCCTCTGCCTCTTGCTGCTGCCCCTCCCCTGCTCCAGGCTGGCCCCCCAACTCTGTCTCTGGGACCCCCAGCTTCCCGCCCCCTCATGGCGGAAACCCCAGGCCTCCCCGCCCAGCCTGCATGACTGCTGACCCGGGGGGCCAGCCCGGCAACTCACCTGACCTGGCTCCCATCTGCAGATCCGATACCGCAAGGACCGTGTGGTGGCGCGACGTGCCCCCTGCTTCCCGACGGTGACCAGCCTCCAGGACCTGGCCAGTGGGGCCGCACTGGCCGCCACCATCCACTGCTATTGTCCCCAGCTGCTTCGACTTGAGGGTGAGTAAATGGACGTGGACCAGATCTTGTGCAGGGAAGCTGGACATCCTAAGTCCCAGCCTCCAGGCCCTCTATCCCCAGGTCCGCGAGACCAGTAACGATGCCGTGGTCATGAGGGCAGCTTCCGGAATTGGCAGGCCTGAGTTTGTGTCTCTCTCTTCCCCAATTAGCTGTGTGACCTCACGCAAGTGTATAAACCTCTCTGTGCTTCCACGAATTCATTCCTGCAGCAGATGAAACGTATGGAGTGTGGACTGCGTGCCAGACCTTGTTTTAGGCACTGGGGATCCAGCCAGAATAGAGACACGCTCCCGACCTCACAGACGGCTCTAGCTGGGAGAGAAAGATACTAAGTTTATCCAGAAGTACTTTTTTTTTTTTTGTGAGACGGAGTCTCGCTGTGTCTCCCAGGCTGGAGTGCAGTGGCCGGATCTCGGCTCACTGCAAGCTCCGCCTCCCGGGTCCATGCCATTCTCCTGCCTTAGCCTCCGGAGTAGCTGGGACTACAGGCGCCTGCCACCACCTTGCCCGGCTAGTTTTTTTTGTATTTTTTAGTAGAGACGGGGTTTCACCGTGTTAGCCAGGATGGTCTCGATCTCCTGACCTCGTGATCCACCCGTCTCGGCCTCCCAAAGTG